CTGTAAGTCCGATTGCTTTGATACTATTCATATTGTTCATTTTCTAATGATGTCTTCAGTTCTTTAATTGAAATGTGCATTGCTAACAGCGGAGCTATCTCAGCCGATAGGCTGCTTGTTTGAATTTGTTCCAGCATTGACAATGTTCCCAAGTTTTAACACTATCTAGCTGAGACTGTCTTGGTAATTTAAAAGCAAAAAAAAAATGTCACTTCTAAGAAGTGTCTACGAACCTGCATCTATACCTTAATAATCAATTGTTTGTTTGTTTTTTTGAGACTGTTCTAATTTACAATAGTGACTTACATTGGAGATCCCAGTCTGAGAAAAAAAAAGAGGCATTTCAGAACTGAAGAGAAATAGAATTAAAGTCAAAGATGGAAGTGAGAACTAAAAATCTCTTTTTAATGTCTGAGACTGTTCTACTTTCCTTAAAATTGTAAAAGTTTATTTCATTCATGGGAGCATTGTGTTACACTGTCTGTGCATATCATAAGGTCATAGTTGAAAAGGTCATAGTTCAATACTATTGTGTACTAGGTGACGGTTCACTGGGAAGTTAATGCTAGAAAGAATTTAACATTTTAAAAGCAATTTCAACATTATTTTTTTTTCCAATTGTCTAAATCACAGCATAGGGAATAACTGAGTGACTTTGCAACATCCCCAGACACTTTCCCAGACACTTTCCCAGACACTTGATAAAAAACAATGTACCTGGTTTTCTTGTGTATATATGCTCATTAATTAAATAATTTAAAAGTGACTCAATTTTGAACATTTTACGAAAATAATAAACCCCATTGATACAATTATTTTTTAAGGAAAACCCCTAACATATAATGGAATTACCTAAATTATTCTTGGGAGAACAGTTTTGAATACAGTTTATCGTTGACTAAATCTATAAAATTATTGCTATTATGCTGAAGTGTATGGACGAGAACACTCAGAAGGACATTACTCGCCTCTTCTTGAGTGGAAACAGTCTGCAAGTGACCGTCAGGGAACGACGTCAGCAAGCCTTGCTTTCTTACTTTTGATAAAACGTTCTAATTTATTACAGCAATGTTTTTTGTACCTACAAAAGTAATGGAATAATCCAACTACACAATCCCCTGCAACCACACATCAAAAGTATACTGCAACCAGTGTTTTGATAATCGGTTAGTTAATTTTTTTCTATTTTTTTTCTGTAGAATTTGTTGGGACTCGACCAGCAATCTCTGGAAGGTGTCTTGACGCACAGTGAACATGTGACTAAGGGAGAACTTGTAGTCAGAAATTATACCAAGGATGTCGCTCAAGGTATGACCTTAAATTCAGTTCAAAGGTCAGAGATGGAAAGTACACCCACAATATATTTTTAGAGATAACTGTTATGTTGATGTAAAACCATGTGCTTGATTGTACATTCGCAGCAATTTGCTGCTGTCTTCTTTCATAAACATATTGTGAGTATAATATAAGGTTATTACGAGAATACCTCAAAGTATGCACAAAGACAGTACAAAGACGATGCGCTGCGTACTGTCTGAGGTATCCTCGTAATAACCATATTATTATACATCTCTTCCTTCCAAGGATACATCATGGGAATGCCGAAATCCAATACGTTTAGAACAGAATAAGCGAACTTCTTTGTGTGGAGTCCCGCCAAACTCTGGTGGCAGCCATGTTTGTTTCTGTTATTAGAGGACGCTTACGCACGTAATCATTCCATATTTGGAATTTGCATTTCCTTATATGGTAGGATGAAACTACCGCAATATTACAACACGCTGTAACTTATAACGTTACGGTGACAGATGTATAATTATTGTTGTTAAGTTTATTGCCTCTTATTTGAAACACTAATGTTTGGAAATTCTTTTGTTTTTATAGATTGTTGTGATGCTATATCTAAAGCATTGTATGGTCGTTTATTTGGTTGGATTGTAAATAAAATAAATCAGTTACTGGCACCAGCAGAAGAAATATCAATAAATGAAACTAAGGAAATTGGTGAGTATGTTTGTAGTCATGGAAATAATCACTTCTGATTTGAAACAACATTTTTTTTTTTATTTTAACATTTATTTATCAATGACTTTACCAGAATTTGTTCTTTTTTTTTAGGAATACTGGATATTTTTGGATTTGAACATTTTCAGAAAAACAGTTTTGAGCAGGCTTGCATTAATCTTGCCAACGAGCAACTTCAGTTCTTTTTTAACCAGGTAATGCATTTCCCTTTTATTTGACAGAATTTCAAAGGCATGATTATAGTCAGTTTTGTGTGCTTATTTCAGACTATGCAAGTCTTTCTGATATACCACAGTTACATGTATATATATCACAGTGTATGTATATATACCACAGTTACATCTATATACACCAGTTACATCCATATATACCACAGTTAGTCTGTCAATGATTACAGAAGTAAATAAAACACCACAATGATAAAAATTACTTAAAAATAAATTCATAATTGGAAATATGTTACACATTACTCCCAGAACAAAATTCTCTTTTTTTGGTGAATATTTTTGTTGTTTTTGGTAAAAAGATGATATTTTTAACTTATTCTTAAAAACTACCTGGTCAATTGCCGTGATACATGGTATATAGGTACCTTGAGTAGACCTCTGACAGATTTGTTCATTTCATGCAATAACTTCAATTCTCTATTTTTGGTGAATATTTTGTTGTTTTTGGTAAAAAGATGATATTTTCAACTTCTTCTTGAAAATTACCATATCAATTACTTTGATACATGGTATATAGGTACCTTGAGTAGACTTCTGACAGATTTATTCATTTAATGCAATAACTTCAATTCTCTATTTTTGGCAAATATTTTTGTCATTTTTGATAAAAAGTGTTATTTTCAACTTCTTGAACACTACTAACCCGATTGCTTTGATATTTGAGGTGTACATTATACAATTTGTATTTTGATGATGTTTTCAACAGCCAGAACCAAGATACTTTTTTGTTTGTGGGTCAACCACTATTTATCTTATGGGTGTGTGTTGCTCGATTTGGCAAACTCAATGTTCTTATAAGGACAGTGGAGCTATTTCAACTGTCAAGTCACTTGTCTAAAAATATGAAATATTGTAAGTAGGTATCCTACCATGACATTTCCACACATTTTAATTGGAGGGTATGTATGACCGTAAACAGAACCTTCTAAAATGAAATGCAAGACCATTTGATTTGACCATTTGCGTGCAGATACAATGATGAGTAAATTTGTAGTATGTTCTTGATATACCTTAATAATAATTGCAATTTATACCAAACTAAAATATCAAAATTGAGTTATTTTCATATAAATGATTCAGTACAAACAGGTAGATGTAAGTTTGGTGAGAAATCCTGAATATATTGGTAAGGCAAATTGTTAATGCAAATGTACTTGCTTTAACTAAATGTTATTTTTTTCTTTTCATAGCATATTTTTATGATGGAGCAAGAAGAATACCAAAGTGAAGGAATTGACTGGACCAATATCCCTTTTGTCAATAATCAGCCGCTTCTTGTTAGTATAAGTTTTTTTTTTTTATTTTGATGTATTTGTTTATAATTTAATGTATTTCATTTTTTGTAATATTTATGTGTTAATAAGTGCATAGAATGTTTTCAAACAAATATTATTAATTTGAAATTACTCATTTTAGGATTTATTCTTGGGTAAGCCGATTGGAATTTTAACTCTATTGGATGAAGAATGCCAGTTTCCTCAGGTAAGAATTTACAATCATCTTGTAGTAAATTTGCTGTTAAATATTTTGACTGTACATTGGGTTCCTGCTTTGTATATGTAGATGGGTAACCCCTATGGTGATTGGTGACACTTGTTAGACATGTACAAGGTACTCAATTGTTTGAAAAAGATATGGTACCCCTTAGGTATATGATAATAAGTATGTACCCCTCAGGTATGTGACGATAAAAGTGTATTCCTCAATTGCATATTTCAGGCATCAGATCATACTTTTGTTGAAAAGATGAATCATAACTTTGCTGGTAATCATTTCTATATCAAATCAAGAGTTGCATCTAATAATATATTTAGCATAGACCACTATGCTGCCAGGGTAAGTCAATTATATATTGTTACTATGTGTCCACATGTACCGTAAATTAATACTAACATTATAATGCACTCGTTCACGATGTTGTGTGTTTGCACTGACTGGTTAATATGACTTGTCATTCACACCCAAAAATAAAATAATTGTATTGTTCACTACTGCCAATATTTGAACAATTGATAAAAATGTGCACAAAGCAATAATAATTTTTATTAAATAATGTAAATGGGCAAGTAAACAGAATACAAAATGATGGACATAACCCAAGTTTATCTTAAATAATCGTTAAACTGCTTTGCATAATTTCACTAGAATACGTCCTAAAGACACAGCCAAATTGTGTCTCTACAAATGCAATTAAATCATATAATCACAATTCTCCGTTCTCAGAAATTAAACACTTTAGAGTATTTTAGAAAGTAATTGTATGTTTAGTTGTGTTATTATTCCTAAATTAATAGCAGGATTATACACCTAATAGGTTGAATATGATGCGCAAGGATTTCTTGAAAAGAATCGAGATACTCTACCAAATGGAGTGATACAGTTATTAAAGGAGAGCAAAAATGCGTTACTAAATCAGATATTCAGAGGTAAGAGTGTCTAAAGAACATATCTTTCCATATAACATTTCAGAGATTCTGTATATGCATACATGTTTTTTTTTTTATATATTCTTCGGGCGGTGCTACATCACATAACACTCTACGTTCCTAAGACGCACACCACTGTACCACATATTTCTATGGAATCTGCACATGCTGCTGTAGAACGCCAGTCGAACGGCCAATGAAAACAGCCAAAGTCGAGGAAACAGCCTAAATTCATCTTTGACAACCAAATTATGAAGTCTGCAATTCCTCAAAGGTTTTATAAAATCGTAACTGATGAGAACATTTTGTGAGAATTACTTTCCTTTAATCAGTTCTTTTTTGTGTCATGTTGTATCAAAGTAGTCACCTTGATTTAGTTTGATTCATGGAAATTTGTTTTGACTAGCTTTGACTATTCTCCATATCATAGCATTACCGGTATAATTAAAGTGAAACGTGGTCATTTAAAAAAAGAATTAAAATACATTTGTTATAAATCGACAAGTTTTCTCAACTCTGTAAACAAAAATCAGAACTCTATAACGACATGTATCTAAAAATAATCACATCAATGTTGTTATATCTCTGTCAGGAAATGTTAATGATATACTTATACTAGTAAGTGAACTTTATTTGGCAACAAGCGGCTTAGGAGGGAACACACTGCTGGGATCAATCTGCCCGAAATACATAACCTAAGCTATCCAAAATAATGAGTCCTACAAAAGACATATCAAGTCGGACGTTTTAGCAATCTGTCACTATCATACAACAGCTGATATGCTTGCTATATGTTGTCTTATTTTCATTGTAACAGGCACTATAACAAGAACTGGTACTCTGGCACTGCAGATGAGAACAAGTAGAGGATTCAGTAGAAAAAAGGTACATTTTTATTGTCATACTTAAGCTGCATTATCTACCTTGTTCATATCCTTGTAGATGACAGGCAAGGTATATGTATATGAGAGGGAAAATGTCTGTCATTATTGTTGTTGTCATTGTTTTCTTGTAGTTACAATACTTAAAACAGGTTTTTATCGAATTTCTATGCAACTTGAATATTAACCAGTTTAGAATATTGGCTGTAATGTTCTCAAAGAATCATCATGAGAGGGAGAAAACTGTTTTGTTTATTTTACCAAAATGATGACTGAACTCTTGGTTGCTAGGCACTACTGAGCATGCCCGCTTAATTACAAGACAAGACTAGGTCAAACAATACAGCAGTAGAACACTACATCCAAGTTTGATTATGGTACATGTTCTATGTATATTTTTCAAGAAAATCATAAAATTTCACCTAAATTTGTCTTCTTCTTGTGGTTGCACTAACTAAAAAAAATGTAATTTGCCATTCCAGAACTAGATCTTGGTTGTGGACATGTTTCATTCAAACTTGATATGTCCATTAAACATAATGGGTTCTTAATTCACATCATTTTCCCTCCAGATTTGATTAGTCCCTGTTCAGGCAAATGGGTAGTACTAATTTTATTTTCTTTCTCATTTTCTTTTCTTCTCAATTTTACTTTCATTTTCAAGTTGCTGCAAGTTATCTCTCACATTTTCTCAGAGACTCTGCAGCAGATGTCAATGAAACTTGGCAGGTTGATGAACAAGTCTGTACGTGTTACATATGCACGTAATTTTCTTTTCCAGATCTGAAAATTCTAAGTGGGTCTTTTTCAAGATTTTCATCCAAAATTACCTCTCTCCACTATTGACAGAGCAACTGAGCATGCTCAGAATAAATGATTCTCTGTTAAATTCAGATTCAGATTCATGAATTCCTGTTTCTGATTCACAAGTTTTACCAAATGTATTTGATCGGTAATGTATACTTTTCAGAACTCAGAACCAACTTTGCAGAACCTCAGAACCCAATTTCAAAATAGCTTTCTTATCATCAGAAGTCATCTTTTAGGTCATTATTCATATGACCACACCTACCCAAAAAATATTCAATTTAGCCAAATCCAGTTATTTCCTTTGATCTCAGCAACCATTGAGTTGATTTCATTCATATTTGGTAGGATTACACCTTGACACAAGTAGATGTGCTTCTGACAGTAATGGCCACGCCCTCCCCAAAATATGCAAATTAGATCAATGCAGTTATTTGCTGCTATCTCTACCACCACCGTGTCAATTTTATTCATATTTGGTATGATTACACTTTGGCACGAGTAGATGTGCATTTGGCAATAATTACCACACCCTCCCAAAAATATGCAAATTAAAACAATGCAGTTATTTGATCTTTGATTTGACCCAGGTCCTGGTAATATACTAAGACCTTAATAAACAAAGAAGTCATGTACATTAAGGTTCACTCAGATTTATGAATGCAGTTTCTTGAGCAAGTATACATGTATGACAAATAGTTTTGTTGCACTTAGTAGATTCTGAATATGGGTCAGTGGAAGTTTTTAGTTGTCAGTACAAAACTAGATTATGGGAAATCACTTTATAATGAGTTCTACCCACATAGAGTACATATTCATTCACCTGTTTGCAGATGTTTCTTGTACTACTATATAATCAAATAACCGGGACTGTGACATTCATGTCTTGTTCAAAATGGCTGACTCATGGCTGGATTTATCATATTCAAACATTACATGTGCATCTGTTTCAGAATCTAATTCAAAATGGTTGATCGTTATTTTCATGCTAGAAATGCATTATGAATGTCATGGTCAGAATATAGGAAAAAACTGCACAAATAAACTGGTTCCACTTTGTATCATGTCTGTCACGAGTGTAAATAATTATTTGGAACTATTGTTTACAATCACTAAAAACTGAGTGGGGACTTTTTTTATTTAATCTAGGTTTTCTATGGTCAAGGTTGTAATAGTTAATAATTAATATGAACTTTGATTTGAAAAAAAACATAAATGCTCATCAAATGAGTAAATAGAGGAATATTATTATGGTATGCTGTAACTTATGGCGTTACTGTGACAGATGTATAATATTATGAATTATTACATGTTTTTACGTTCATGCTTTTTCGCTGAATAGCTCACTGTAAGAATGTTTGGGGTATTACGGTTCAGTGAAGCGTGTGTTGAACGCTACTGTTGTACGGACCACGGCAACAAAACTATAGTGTTCAAAAGGTTAATATAAATATGCAAATGAGTTTTGACATGTATTAATTTTGTATTTACAATAGAGGTTTATGCAGCCACCACCTAAAGCTAGCAGAAAGAATCTAACACTTGGTGGACAATTCAAGGTATAGTGTATATTTCTTTATTGGTTTTAGATGGAGTATTCCTTCTTTTTTTATTTTAAATTGGTGTTTTTCAGCAAAATTGTACATGCTCACCCAAATCTTTCTGTGTTAATTAGGTTTGTTAATTTGGGGTGTTGATTCTATCTACTGTAGCATGCTATCTGCCATTTTGAAAAATATTATCTGAACTGTTTATATCAGAATTTGCTGATAACAGATATTACCATGCAGTACAAAGTTGTACTTTGGTTATTTTTTAGTACACTCTCTAATTGTTTTTTTTTCCAATTTTTGATTATTTTAGAATTCTCTGAATGTGCTAATGGAGAGAATGGCGGTGTGTAATCCCCATTTTGTGCGATGTATAAAACCAAATACTGCCAAAGCAGCTAACAAATTTGAAGATCAATTCGTCCTTGTGCAAGTAAGTACATATTCTCGGGGCGAAGGAACATCATAGAATATTATATGTTGCCAAGATGTGCATCACTTTACCATCATTCTATCGGCTCTGCGCGAGCTGTTGTGGAACGCTGATCGAAACGCCGGCTTAAGCTTAAGTCAAGAAAACGGCACAAACTCAACTATGAGACAGTTCTAAAACAACCAAATTGATATATGTTGCACACCTAGGGGTAGGGTTGTCTTGTTACTTTGTTCAAGAGAGTCTCAGCAACTAGCTTAAAGTCCTTTTTTGGGGGAGTTTTCATTGGTTGTGGTTGCCCAGGCGATGAAAATGCCTGGATGTTCGCTCCCAGGAATAGTTTGGGAGCTATTGAATGCTGAGTCTGTGTAGGCGTGTATATACAACACAGAATCCATCACAGATTGATCTGCAGGGAAATACTTTATAATTCCTATCAAGTCAAGCTGCTGTAAACATTTTCCATAATGTTTTAGTTGAGTCATTTTACATCAACTTTTAGGTCTCTATACCTGATAGCCCCAAATTGAATACATGTGACAGGGTATGATTATTACAGCAGTGATTTTATGTCATAATTATGAATATAAATTGTATAAATGTGGAAATTTCGAAACAAACTTGAAGTACCACCATCAATTAAAGATTAACGACCTAGTCACCTGATTTTAAATTTAACATCAACCATATAACTTACTAATGAAAAGAGTTTTTATAGTTAAACCTCAAGCACAAATTATTCAAATACCTCTAAACATTTATACCATGTTAAATGTATTCTATACTAATACAAGAGTTTTATTCATTTTAGTTACGATATTGTGGTATGCTAGAGACAACAAGGATACGAAAACAGGGCTACGCTATTAGACCGTCATTTACTGAATTTGTTAGCATGTGAGTGTTTATTATTAATAGACCATTTTCCGTACACTGCGAGAATCACGCGTTATGCGTGAAATCGAACGTAAAAACAGGACAAACAAAGGTCATAGCGTTGTAGTCGCGTCAAACATTGCGTGGGATTCGACAAACGCGAAAGTATTTCGGGAACATTTCCATGCTTAATAATGTGCTGTCCACATTTGATGATAGGCAATTTCGATTAAGTGAGGGTATTCGAAAGCAATATTCCTCCGTCGAAGATCGGCCGGTCAATGTAAGCTGCGAAAAAAAGAAATTCTAGTTCAAAATCAAATCGTTCGATTTTTGCAGCAGACGTTCGACGCGCGTCTTTCATGCATCTCGCGAGATCTCGCAATTGTTCGGAAAATCACCTATTTGATAGCAAACAGTAAAACATTTTACCATTATACAGTTTGGTGATTTAGTAATCGGTTTATACAAAAAGTCACATGACTCTCCACAACCAGTGGTATTTTCACTGCTACACAGTTTCAGGTTTCCCTTGACTAACTAAATTTGTTAAAAAATTGTGTATGAAACTAAATTATTTATTTTGTATACATCCTAGTAAAGCCACACATTTGTCAATCATGTAATACTTGACATCATTTTCAGTGTAAAATAGAACAGGCGCTTAAATTTTGTTTCACTAGATACAAGATCCTGGCTCTTCATCCTAAAATTCCTGAAGATAAAAATGGATGTCTAAGAATCTTAAAAGCTGCTGGTATTACAAACTGGCAGATAGGGTAAGTGTACCATGTCTATAGTCTCTTTGAGAAATGCATAATTTGACAGTGTCTTGTTAACATGGCAACGGCAAGTCTCAAAAGTGTTGAAGAAAATGATGTTGACAAATACAGGTTGTTTTGAAATTCATGATTGAGTTTACCAACTTTGTTTGTAATATTTGGTTAGGTGGGATTATGATGTAAACAATATTAAAAAACAATTGTGTACAATTTCTGAGAAAAAACAATGAATATATTCTCTCTCCAGAAATAGATGTTTTTGTGAGAAATTAGAGTTCCTGACTGATTTATGAAATAAACTTATGTCATTTCACAAAACCAAAAATTACAAATTTGTTTTTGTTTTTTCTCTAGTAAAAACAAAGTTTTCTTGAAATATTACCATGGTGATGAGTTATTGGCTAAATTAGAGCAATTTGATAAGGCAGCTGTGCACGTACAAAGAGGTAAATCACTTTTATACCTAAGCTAATATACTAAACCTTCTAGATGTGTTCAGCTGATTAGAAATGGATTATTCTTCATAAATAATTAATTAATTAATCTGCAGCGTTATTGTGGAATCAACTATCCACAATGACATTGTGAATTCAAATTCTATATTGTGGTAATAAAATTAAGCTATACACTGAAAGCCATTTAGTTTGAAAAATGGCCAACATGCCTGTAATTAAAGTTGCATTCCAAGTTTGCAATTATGTAAAATATCCTTTCAAGAACAATCATAAAATGTGTTGGAATGATGCTGTTTTAGCTATAAAAATCATATATTAAAAATAGGTTTCCTACACTTACTATTTTATTTTGAGAGTACTATAGGGCCTTATCCTTTAGACAAACGCATGTACAATGTAACCATTATGTAACTGTCCCCTTAAGTGAGTGTCTATTTGCTTTCAAATCTGGCTTATCGTATTATACAGTCAATTTCTCATTATGTATCTACAATCTTCTTTTTAGCAAAATTGCATCAGAAATTCACATTCTTCCTTCCAGTCTTATGCACTTGAAATTCTAATATAAAATTTTTTTTTTTTCAAAAAGTTAATTCACATACTCAGTATTTACCATCTCGTTTTGTGTAGTTCAACTGATGGTAGACTTTTTTTTTCTCAGTTGTTCGAGGTTTTCTCGCAAGAAGGAAATATCTCCGGATGAAGGAGGAAGCTCGAAAGAGGGCAATTGAAGTGAACAATTTCCTGAAGCAATTGGAGAACTTGAATATTGATAGTTATGATAAACAACAGATGCTAATAAAAAAGGATAGGAAAATTCCAAAAGGTAAACTTGTGTGAATGTAATGATGATGATGAATAAGGTGGGCTGCGACAGCTACTACGATGACAGCGACGACAATTACGATATCAATTTGATACCTTTTTTTTCTCATTTTCCAGACTACTTTAAAAAGTTGAAAAAAGCTGAATCAATGCCAGCAGACCTACCTGCCCCCCCACTGCCAGCACATGCTAAGTCAAACTCAAAGTCTGCTTATAAGGATCTAGAATTACCAGTTCCACCTAATGAGGTAATTATACAGTCCAAATTTTGTGTAAAAAAAAAAATAAATATTTTATATGTTGCATGGGACCTTCAAAAATACCGAGAGCCAGTTGACAATGTGAAAAAACTCCAGACCCATAATCTAATTATATGGTAGTCATGGAAACCAATGCATGAACATAGTTGATTTTTTTGATAAATGTTTATCTTATTTTAATTTCCTCCCAAGTATACTGATCCCACAGATGAGGGAGATGACGAAAATGATACAGATGATGACATCCTAGAAGATGAGTTTGTAAGAACAAAAAAGAATATGGGATTTGGACCTGAAGGATCAAAAGAGGCTTCTATATTGTGGTTTAAATCAACACAGTCAGAGAAACTGAAAGAAACTCACGGTTTTTCTAATTGGTTCCATGGGATAATAACTAGGAGGTATGTGTTGAAAAGATTATACCCATCATTAGCGCCCTCTAGTGATGTGTTCCTGTCACATCAAAATGACATAAATGATTGGAAGCATTAAGTCATCTATATAAACAACTCTGTTTGATAGTATTTACAATATAACAAATCTCTATAGTATCAGAGGTACATTACTTGGGGTTTGCAACTACGGTGACATGATACCAAGATCCCGTTTCAATCTCGCTCTCACATAAGTGTTCCAAATTCGAATGCACATGCCCGAGGTAACTAGGATACTGGGATGTCCAGGTGGATCAAAATAGCTGCTCAGGATATGACAAATTCTGATAACTATGTTTTCTGTACATTTTCGATGTATTACATTTTTTCACTATGAATGTGGTAATACATGTTCTATTGTTTTATTACAAACTACTTATGTCACGTCAGAAGGTCGTAGCACCAGTTTCGCTATCTACGAAATGAGACTTGAATGGGATCTTGACATGATGTCACCATACAGTACTATGCGCGATGCAAACCCCAAGTAATGTACCTCTAATAGTATTTATTTATTGATCAACAACCACAGGTCAAAACAATTTATGTCAAAAAAGTGTATAGCAGATTTTTCAGTGATGTACATCTATGCAGTTTGATAACTGGAAATCAGTGCTGGATATTTTTTAATTTGATAATCTTTCTCTGGAAATAAATCAACTCTAGTCAAATGTTTTCATCACACATTGTACAGAAAATTACATTAATGAGGTTGTTTGTTTCTCTTCCATCTGCAATGAAGTGGTTCAAGTGAATTGACACAAACTCAGGGTACTCCCAAAAGCATTATAGAGTAGCCCCCCCCCTCTACACTCTGTAGTGGTAAATTAAAAAAAATAGAGTATACCACTAATTATCATAACAGTGAATACAATACAATATTTTCCTGAAAAGATATCAACACTGCAGTATGTTCCTACTTTTATGAGCATCCCGAAGAGTGTTTGTTCATTTCAATCTCTATTATGTCAGCTCTCTGTAAAACTAAGATGTTTCCTGGATCTATTGCTGTATTGTGATGGTAATTAATTTTTTATTGTATATCTTGTTTACAGACAAGCTGAGAAACTGCTATGGGACAAACAGATTGGGTGTTACTTAATACGAGTCAGTGAAAGTAGATTTGGTTATTCTCTGTCATTTAGGTCAGTTATTCTTCATTTTTGGTTTGTAGATTTAAGTAATTATATATATCATTATTGATGGAAATAACTTTGTTTTACACTGTACATGTGTTTTAATGTTATAATGTAATACATTGCAGAGTGAAAGAAAGATGCAAACATTTTATGATAGATCAAACTCGGAGCGGTAAATATGTCGTTGTAGGCGAACCAAGAGTTCATGCAAGTCTTTCTGCTTTGGTTAAATACCATGAAAAGGTAACTACTGTAGAATACTTTATTTTCGCTTGGAATTATATTATTGTTTTTAATACAAAAATCATAAATGCCTTGTTTGTTTTTTAAACATAACTGTATACATTTGCAGACTCCAATATCTCCATTCGGCGATCTACTTACTGTACCTTGTGGCCAGGTGAGTTTAGTATTGATTTAACAATTTGCTTATTTGCTCATTAGCATATAACATAATATTACGCATAAAGAATTGTTGATTGCAGTGGATTTGAGCGTAATTTAAAATTTAATTTTAATCTAGCATTTGAATTGATACGAGTAATATAGAGAAGTTTAATTTGTAAAAGTATATACAGGAATATCCAGTATATTATTATTAATGTCCATATTGATGTTCATATTGATGTTCATATTGATGTTAACATTATTATGTTGGATTAAAAGAATATTGATGAAGAATGTCATTTTACAAATTGCATTTTTATACACATTATATATTTATAATATTGTCTTCAGGTTGAAGGCGAGTCAGACTATGCTGAATTAATTAGTGATGCATCAATCAAAATACGTCAGATGCCACCGTTGAGGCCGCCACCACCTTCTGTTTCCAGGCAACCACAAACTTCAAATGCAGCAAGAATCTATCCTGATCTGACTGTTAGTGAAATTTATTAATACTAGCTAAATAATCATTAAATTAATTTTGCAATTCTTATGTGAGTTAAATGGCATGCACAAATACTGTTCTCCAGTATTCAAACTATTGAATCAGGTCAAAAAACCTATCACGTATTTTTCGTTTTAAAAGTTTTACTTTACTTCATTATTGATTTAGACACAAGTCATTGACTTTTGGTATTTTGGTATGAAAACATGCAAGAATTGGCCCTTTTGAAATTGTTTCCATTTAGCACAATTGCCTGCTGAAAACCACATGGATAACCAAAATTTGATTTGAACAACAACAGCATCAACAATAGCAGCGTTCAAAATAATTCAATACCCATCTCATGACTACACCTGATTTTTTCTCTATATGTACTTAAATGAAACTTTTGTTAGAACAAAACATCTTTACTATAGGAAGCATCGATCCATGGCACAAAATTTGCCATTTACGTCAGTGTTTGATACATGTGCAAAAAGTAGTTCGATGACCATACTTTTCTACTAGGATTTTGTGAGCAACAGTCTAAAATAAAGCCATATGTTAAAAGTCAAAGAAAACTTGCGATAAGTTTTAATAGCAGCCAGCTATATAATATAATGTCAAGTGACAAATCTATGAGTCGGGGAATCTCATCAAGTGTTGGAGCAGTGACTCTTATTCTAATTCCTGTGCTTTCAATGTGCATTTCACATGACTTTTTGTGTATATCGTCAGGACACCGTTGAATTTTCTCAGGACTTTGATCATTAAAGTTTTATTTCAATTTGAAAATGTGAAAAAATGAAATAAAATATTTAAAAAGTTGATTTTCCACTTGAATGCAATTCAATTCTAAAACTTTGAATTCTCAGGCTATAAGTAACCAGTCCTCGACTCCGCCTCTACCTGAAAGGAATTACAGCCCACAGTCTAACCGGAAACATCGTAAAGGCCCTGCCCCGCAACCACCTTCAGCAGCATCTCGCCAGAGCCAGGCAAGTCAGGCATCCTACCTCAGTCTGATAAAAGATCAGGTACAGAAGTGTTCATATTAAAGCTGATCCCTGGTGTTATTTCTCACCTGTGTATAGCAACTTGCACTCGGCTGAAAAAATCAATAAAATAACTGCTAAAAATCTTGTGCTTTGTGTGTTCTTATACACTAATAAATCTTTTTTGATTATTAATTTCTATTAATTTTCTAACTAACATATGTAACACTTCTAATCCTGATTCTGCTGCTTTTATCACTGCATATTGATTATCTTTTTATTTATTGTGAATATTTGTTTGTGATTTGATAATTTTGAAGATACAGTGAAAGGCATAAAGCTGGGGATGTTATAAACATTTTATAAATATAAATTTTTAAAAATAAAAATGACTGGTGGAATTCTAATTGATCAATACAGAAACCATGGACGAGTTCTAATTAATATTAATGAGCTGGTTCGACATCATCCAATCAGCAATGCCTTCATTTTGAATATGTTGGTAGTCATAGTTGCTATGTCACTTGAAGGCATATTATGGGCATAGACAATGAATGAGCTCTTGATGATTGATATTTACAAATATTATATTTTTATAAACTAAGGTACGTCTTCCAGCCATTCACTGTACTCTAAAATGCTGAAATGTTTTTTATTACGGTGGTCAATTACATTTGTAGTTTTACAGTAAAGTAGCAGTACTGTAAAATGACTAATTTTCACTGGGTTTAAATTTCGCTGATTTGCAATTTCAGGCATATTCAGTGGGTTTTAAATTCACACTTTTGTCATTTAGATAATGTGTTCTATATGCTAAATTTTACATATTCACTGGGTTTTAATTTAGCACATTTTCCAATCAGCGAAATAAGCAAAATCAAAACCCAGTGAATAATTAATCTTTTTACAGTATTTGTGATGACATCATATCGACATGCTAATTTAAAACTGTTTCTGTTAAATGATTAACATGATACTGTAGAATACTTTATTTTCGCTTGGAATTTATTTTCGCTAAAAGGATGATTCCATGAAAATAAAATCCAGCAAATATACTTTTTTCTCTATATTTCACATTCAACTCGTCAAAAATCAGTGAAAATAAATTCCATACAAAACATCTAAAATGCTTTTTCAGCGAAAATTAATTCCAGCTAAAATAAAGTATTTCACAGTAGGTGGATGTCTATATGTTAAAGTGGTATTATCTTTAACATATTTAGTAAAATGGGTGGTTTATTGCCACGATTATACCAACATTTTAAATGTAATTCTGATGACTGACATGGAAATAACGTTAAACTATAAGACATCAAAATAACTTCAAAGCATCCCAAAACCATGTAGAAATGTAATGCAGCAACCCCAAATGTTCTGCTTGCAACCATGGGCCCTGGAACTAGCATACAGCAATTATAGATGCATCAAGTGACCAATCAAATTCGTTCCCATATTTTGCATTGCATGGTTTATTCGTGTAGTATCTTGTTATTGGCAACATTGATATGTGTAAAATCGTTTCATTTGACAGAAATTCAAGAAATACAAATGCTCATTAGTGCTGATTGCTTTTTGAGGGTCAACAAAACTTCTGGGTTCACAAGTGAGCCACTGCAGATGGCAGTCATTTGCATAATTTTGAAAATGCATCTTATTAATACATCTCTTTTGAGCTCCAAATATCTTTATTACGTTCTATGCCCGTAGTGCACACGAATGATTTTTGCCAATTTCAGTTGACATTGGGATATACTCTCACTGTGTGCTATGCAATTTGTGTGCCACGGTATTTCACCACGGCTTGCATAATTAAAAACATGGCCTCAACCAATCAGATTATTATGGATAATATAATTAGCGGTGATTTAGAATCTGAAATCATATGTGTGATGGGATTCTGTTTTAAATAGCCGGTTTAACATCATCCAATCAGCCAATCCTTTATTATGAATAAGTAGATATATGTCGCAGTTGATGTCACTAGAAGGCTTGTGCGCACATTATGGGCATAGACAATCTGGAGTTTTTTGAGCCAATTATTTTTGAATATTTTTATAACGATTGATATTTAAAATTTGTTATAAATATGTTTATAAACTAAGCGGTTTAATGTTTATTAACATTTTTGTTTATCCTCAATCTACAGCAAGACATGAAGGATTTTCCTAAGACAGGAGAAGTCAAGGGAAAAAAGAAGCGATGAGAACTTCAATGAAATCAACTTCTCTATCACGCGTATTCAGTATACTTTTATATTTGTAATACATTTATACATGCTTTATTTAGAGCATCTACACTTTCTGATTTTATTCAGTACTGGTACTTAAAATATTTTCCACTTTCTGTGCACCATGGCAAATTAGTAATTATAAATTAGTGTAAAAGATAGAAGTCTGCATTTTTTGACACTTTTTAAAACCCGGATTTTTTAAATAATTCAGAATAACAAAAAGTACCCTATCATTAACAATATATGATTTTTTTCAGCCCATGTCACCAGCCTACAATTTGAGATATTGCATAATATCTCTGTCATAGGAACCTATAGTAAAAGCATAATAATAGTGCCAAAATGGCGACTTTCCACTAAAATACAACCATCAAGAATTTTAAATTATGAGTAGGCTTCTAACTTAACATGTATAAATACATTGTATTACATATTGGTGAATGCTTTGTGGAAGTTGGTGCAAGTCTCCCTTGACTTGTGAATGCATCGGTTGATATTCTGTGATATAACATTGTATCATTCATCATTTCAATTTTGAAGTAAATATTTGGTGAAATAAAACCATTTAAAATTCCCGAAATATGTTACTCAATGTTAGTGAAATATTTTTAGATATATTATTACAAAACATAAATGAATTTTAAATATAGTATATCAAATACATGTACTTTATTGCTTTAATCATATACTTGAATTGAGCTTTGGTTTGCCAAACTTTATGAGGTTGAAATTTTATAAATTTATATCATAAAGTAATATTTTAAAATAGATTTAATAAGAAATTCATTATATTTGCAAATATACCAAGTAGATGGGATTTGAAAAGTTTTGTTTGTTCAGTTTCTTTTTTTTTCGTTCACTTCTGTATTAATATAATAATTGATTGTTTTGGGGTTTTTTTGTCAAACATAGCTTTTCCTTTTGAAAATGTCTATAATATACAAAACACTGAGTTGATTAAAAAAAATTAATAATTTTGTAGAAAAAACAAGAATACTATTATCTCACTTATTAAACATTGTGCCTGTCATTGTCAATAATATTTAGATGAATCTATTGTCCAAATAAAAATTACCATAAATTACCCATGATGTCATCTTTTAAAGTAAGGGTGTTACTATGAAAACAGTCAAGGGTTCATTTTATTTTTATAGATTTGGTAATGTTGAGGGAAGTGGGTAGTTTTTTTATTTGTCAGAAACTGTTATCATTGTTTTTTGTATAGTAAAGTCCTACAAATTTCATTGGAAAGCAGTTGTAACATACGCTGACAGGATTTTTTATAAATCTAAATTTTTAAAAATAGGTAAAAAAACAATTTAATGTTGTTGGAAACATTTTTTCTAATTGAACAAAAAGTGTTTACAAGGTCAAGACTCTGTGATCATTTTTCTCACTCACTTACGGCAAGGTATCTTTCATAATCTTGATATTTCAAAATCAGTGTTACACATGAAATGGTGAAGCAGTTTTTTTAAAACATTGTGCTGTAATTTATTATAATGAGTGTCAGTTGATCATGTTAATTGTGAGACCACTCTTATGAACTGGTGTTAACTAGGACTTGAATTATGAATAGCAATATAATAATGATCTTGAAACTTTTAGCCTTTGAATCTTTGCACTTTCCTTCTAAATCCCAGAACAAATTATGGTCAATGAGTCACTAATTTGACGAGCCAATGAGTTTTAGTTTCTGTGGTTTTGCTAAAGCTGGTCTGTACATGACATTTTAATAAATTTGCATGTCTAATAAGATAAACTTAAATTCAGAAATATTTTATTCAAGTATATCTATGCATGTGTATGTTAAATTCATATAAATGAAATGTATGGTAAATTATATTGAAATAAAATGAATTATTTTAAGACACATTTGTCCCAAGTTGTTTATTCTATTCAGTTACGTGTTCAAATATTAGATACTTATCAGTAATACTGTATTTACGACTGGAAGTGGATAAAAGGGGAAACAAATTTATAAAAAGTTAAAGGAGAACCCAATTTATTACTCGTTAAAAGGGAAGTTCTTGCTAGGGGGCGAGTAGTTATAGCTCATTACTGGTAAAGTGTATAGTCTAACATGATTAAAAGAAAATCCCAGCCTGTAGTTGGAGAGATATAGTAACTATTAACAATTTGAGCGAATTAATTGTAAATAGATTTACACCTGCATTGTTCTACAAAGTATATTGGTTTATTCTATTATGTTTAGCTTGTTTTTGTATGTTTATTTTCATAGAGACTATCTATGTGCCTTTGCTAATCATGATTCTCACCATTCTTGTAGTTATGCCTAAAGCCCAGTAATGATATAAATTATTGTGGTATACCCCCCCCCCCCCCCCGGTAGTTATTTAATGCCATCAAAGCCTATAAAAAGGTGTAGACACTGTCATTTTGTTTAATTCATAATTTATAGGACCAACTAAACAACATAAAACAGTTGAGGTAGGGTACTGATTAAATGGAATTATACAGAAAGTGCTAATAATATATGTTATTTATTAATTCTACAATACAACAAATGATTTTAATTACAACCAAAAAAATCACACCATAACTAATACAAATGAGTTGTTCAGCTCTTGACGTGAAGATTACAAACATTCTATGTTTATCACCATTTATCTCTAAACAGGATGTCTAAAAACTTCAAGGCATCTTTTCGAGTCGAAAGCGCGGTGGTCGTCGCGCAGCGCGTGTTCGAATTTCATGTAAATAAACAATGTATTTTACACGCGTTGTATACGTCGCTATGAGTCCTACATCGAACAGGGCGCGGCACGACAACTGCCGCCCTTTAAGAATAGTTTTCAGCCAACACTTTGGTGACACCCACACGTACGACTCTACAGTCATTAAAGTAATTTCCCGCTGTATCACATAATTTTTAAGGTAAGTGTTCCAAGCTCCGAAACCGTGCGAGCAGACTATAATAAGTACGCCGTCGATGTAAGTTACACCAGAGGTACATTACTTGGGGTTTGCAACGCGCATAGTACTGTATGGTGACATCATGTCAAGATCCCATTCAAGTCTCATCTCGTAGATAGCGAGACTGGTGCTACAACCTTAAAGCTTCTGACATGACATAGGTGGTTTGTAATAAGACATTTATAGTGAAAAAATGTAAATACATCGAAAATGTACAGAAAATATAGTAATCGTAATCCGTCATATCGTGAGCAGCTATTTTGATCCACCTGGACATCCCAATATCCTAGTTACCTCGGTCATGCGCATTTGAAATTTTTCTGAGTTGGAACACTTATGTGAGAG